TCCTGCAGCTGTACAAGGTGTTTGTTTCTCCTTGTACGTACAGCCTGGGGTGCTAAGCGCTCGCAGTTTTCCTGAGCTCGTTGTTTGGCAGATCAGTCCAGTCTGATTGCTCTTTGTCTATCTGGACTTGCAGAGGCTTTGTCTGCAGGTGCGTATGAAAAGACGGTACCTGTGAAACAGTAACTGCTGGCAGTAGATCTTCATCTGTTCCTGTATGGTCTTGACCATTCTTTACAATTGTCTCCTGTTTCTGGCACGGCACGTGTGCTGTTGCACCCATCGGTGTCGGAGGTGCGTGACAATTGGAACAGAATTCCTGTGTTCGCAGAGGGCAAAGGGGCCGGAAGAGTTTGCCAGTGACACGTGTTTTGAAGCAAAGTTAAAAATAAAGTACAGCTCTTCTTCTGTTAAGTCGAACTGTTTCTTTTGTTACTTTTCTGGATTTCAGCTGTATATTCTTCGTAACTGCTTAACCGCTAGAGTGAAGGAGATAGATTGAAGAGGACTGCTGATGTTTAGGTGACAGAGCAACTTAGGACTGAGTGATGTCATTAACTGTTTGCCTCTGTTTTAGAGCTTATCTCACTGTGAATTGATCACTGATGATGGGATTCTCCATCTGAGCAACAGTACGTGTGGTCATGAGAGGCTGCAGGTACTGGAGCTCGATAACTGTCTTCTCATCACTGATGTGACTCTGGAACACCTGGAGAACTGCCACAACTTGGAGAGAATCGAGCTGTACGACTGCCAGCAGGTCACGCGAGCTGGAATCAAACGGATCAGAGTATGTGTTCGCTGACTTGTTCCGGTGGGAATGCCCAGGCTGTTGGTACTGCTGGAGACTGTGATCCTGCAGGTGTCCCGGGCAAGGCAGGACGGCAGAACAGAGTCGGAATATCACTCTGTTGGGTCCCCATCTCTAGGGACTAAAAGTAGCTTTGCTGCGTGGGCAGTTCTGTTGAGAATTCGTGACACCTGCTGTTGGAATGACGAGTGCTTATCTTCTGCTTTCTGCATTTTTTGCAAATACAGGCTTACATGTTTTTAGGATTGCGTAGTGTCATTGTTTAACTCTCCTAAAATACACGTTAATATACAGAGCTGATAGTAAAACATCTGCATGGCGATCTGAGTTAATGGGTTGGAGGGCCGTTAGGCCCTGGCATCCAGCCCCAAGCTTTTCCTCTGCATGCCTCCCGCCTTGGGTCAGGGACCGTCTGCCTTGGGGCCAGCGTTTTGGCCTTACTGCTAAACCTGTCTGCAGCTTTGATTCGTGTCCCAACACTTTTGCAAGTGGAAAGCTCATCCCAGACAGTGCCTGCTGCAGGCAGGCGCCCTGTTCTGTCCCATGCTGCTTTCTAGGGCGGGAGAAGCAGGGGGCATGGGAGACAGGAGACAAGTCTGTCTTCAGTAGCCGGGGGTCCGCTCTCCCCTGCAGCAGGGGGCCCCCCACGCTGCTGGGTGCTACAGAGGGATGCAGCGGGGAGCCTGAGTGGGTCCCTGCGCCGCTGGGTGCTACACAGGGATGTAGCGGGGAGCCTGAGCGGGTGCGTGTGCCCGGACATCAGTGTGCCGCAGCTGGGTGCGACACGGGACGTACCTGTCAGGAGAAGACAGCCTGGATAGTATTAAGCGTATAGATGCTTTCTTTTTAGCTAGTGAACCTTAATGAGAGCTGACTTGTTGGCAGCAATTGAGGCATACTGCTTTTTCTTACTTGTTGTGTTTTTTTCTCTCCCATTTTAATGCCGACTTTTCGTCCACAGGCTCATCTACCTCACGTGAAGGTTCACGCTTACTTTGCCCCGGTGACCCCCCCTCCCTCGGTGGGAGGGAGTGGACAGCGCCTCTGCAGATGCTGTACCATCCTCTGACAGTAAGTGCACCCACACAGCAGTGTTTGTTGTTGTTGAAGACAAGAATGGGACTGCAAGTCAGTGGAAGGAGGCGGTTTCCTCACAGTCGTAATGGTGGTGTTTGGTCATCCAGTTTTGTGACAAGAAAAGCGTTTTTTTCCAGGTAAAAAATCTTAACATAATGTGCAGCTGTGGATTAAGTTGGTGATGCTTCAGTTTGTATTAGTAACTCCTTCCTTCTGTTGGCATGAGAACTGCAGTACCGTGTAAAATGTGCGGGCATTTCAGCATAGCAGCTACTTGGTGACAGTTCAGTAAACTTGGAAGTTAATTTGCATTTGTAAGCACTACTCGGTGTGAAGTTCTAACGTAACGTGGGGCTCGGGTCCGTCACACCAAGGATCTGAACCTGCTGCTCTGTAACATACACAACAGATTAAATATCAGGTTTAAGGACAAACCAGCTTTAGCAGATGTTGACCAAAAAACGCAAGGTAATTATGAGCTCATACAGCAAAACAGCTTATACTTTTCCATGATTCAGCTTCATATTTAATTACATAACTGGACATAATAGGTAATGTCAAAAGGTAAGGTAGTACCTCAAGGTAGCTATAAATAGAAATACTTTCCATGTTTCAGCACTCAGTTCAGTTGAACTCCGTGTTAGCATACAGCCTGCCTGTCACTGACGCACGCTGCGTGCCCGATGCCATTGGCCTTTAAGAGGGGTACGGAATCCACTGTGGGAGAGCTGGCGCGCTCTGCTGTGCCTGGCTGCCACACTCAGACGTGGTGCTCACTGCGCCGCCGCCGCATGTCCTCAGTGACCGCCTCAGGGCGTGAGAACGGGGTGCTGCGGGCCTAGGCGCAGGGGTCTACTGTTCACGCTTTCCTGCAGATGACGAAGGGAAGCCAGGTTCAATCGCAGGAACTACGAGGAACTCCATTCAAGACGAGGAGTTCAGTTCAAGCGAGGAGTTCGGTTCCAGAGGTTTGTCCCACCTGTTCCAGGGACGCGGCAAGCAGCTGGGCAAATCGGTCTGTAGGCTGGAGGTGAACCAAGCCAAACCCGGGGTTTTCACATGCAGAAAGCCAGACTCTTCACATTTGGGTTATTTAGGAAGCCATCAACTTCTGAACAGTAATAATAATAAAATCTATGTAGTAGCTCCTAAGGCCACGCTTTCATCCTTGTTTTTTTCAGTGCTAGAGGGTTAGAGAAACTTTTATATTAAGCAACTTATCTGAGATAAACTACTCGACAGTTCAGAAAGCTTTTTTGTGTAAGATTGATTGTGCGTGTGCGTATGTTTTAAGAGTTCAGGGCCTGTGTGTTTACTGAAAATTAACAGAAATACTGGCTTAAAAATCAGTTGAAGAAGCTACTATTGGATAGGACTGCAATTTCCCCCCCAAATTTTAAGCTGCTCTTTAAAAGGGGTGTGAACATCAGGAGCATTTTATGGACAGCAGCGGCTGTGTTGTGCTCATGCCTCACCTGTTCACAGACGATGGAGATGGGAAATTAAGATCTCAGCATGGAGGATAACTGACAGGTTAGAGCGCAGTGCATGGATTTCTTTACTACTACAAAGTAAGCCCATCTGGGCTCATTTTGCACAGTAGTGGCGGAGTGTTGTTACAATCATACTTGAGCGTTCCGTTAAGATACTGCTGTCACGGGAAGTTTTAAGCAGATTTTATTCTCAGCTGTACCAGGAAAATCACTGGTACCAGTATGTCAAGATGCATTGCCTTTTGTTGGCTCATTTTTTTCTAAGAACATAATGAACCTTGTAAGTCTACTGCATTAAAGATGTACAAAACCAAATGGAACCTACTCAAATAAACAATCAGCTGATGTCAAATTTGAATTTGTTTTAATTATTTCAAATTTCACTAAGTTGTCTATTAGAAGGAGAAGATCTGTGTGTGTGTGTTGGGTGCAGGATAAACCACAGAGCTGGTTTGCTTCTGTTATTTGCCTTCACCTACCGTTACTGCTAGGGCAGGTCTTGCAGTTAAATCTTAACAACAGAAATATCTCCAGTGTGTGGGGAAAAAAGAAAGTAAACAAAAACAAAAGCACATTTACAAAATTACTGAAAAACATTTATTATACTTAAATTGAAATGTGTACATCTTATTAAAAAACAAAAGCAACTTGCTGGTGCCATAATTTAATTCCAATTTCAAGTGAGCTGGACAAACTACTGTACAACTTTCAATATTCTTTGAAATTAGATATTTGGATACTTTCCAATCAAGGATTTTTCCACTTTAATAAAACATCTGGATTTGAATATGGTGTGAGCTGAAAAGACACAAGTGTCAGTTCAAGAAAATACTAGGACCAAACCATACCCAAGGATGAACAACTTATAGGCAGAAATGTTTTAAGTACATAAAATTTTACTTTCAGTGTGGAAAAAATAAAAATAGGAAAGAAACTCTAGCTTTGATGAATTTAAGTTTTCAAAATGCTACAGCTTTGAGAAGCTTTTCTGCTAAGCACTTGAGCCAGTTATGAAAGAGGGAAGGAAAAAGAAACCAAAAGTTGCTTTTTTACATGCTGTAGTAGTTGTTTACATGGAAAACTGCAGCATAAAAAGCAAACTGTTCCCAAGCTGCTGTGCCAGAGAGCCAGGTGGAATTTTTCAAAGGCACCAAATAACAGCTATGAAACTGTCACTTCACCCCTTCTGCCATATCCCCCTCGAAGTACCTAACCCCGCTGAACCTTAACGTAGGAAATGCTGGGCCATGTCTTTACAAGAAGAACCCAAAATACTGAGAAAGCGCACTGCCTGTGTCGGAGGAAGTAGCTGGTCATTTGGAAGAGGCACCGGAACAGCGGTACAGCAGGGACGGGAGGGCGAAGAAAGGTCAACAGAAAAGGTCAGATAGTTGCCCGTAAGGGCAACTACAGCAAGGCATTCGCCTGAGGGGAAGGAGGCTTAAATGCTGCGTATTTAGTGTTTCTTAAGCAATTTATTTGATGTTTCTGAAAGCTGTGACAGCTCTGTGGTGCCAGTGCGTCACCTGCCCTCGTCAGCATAATTCCACCAAGTCATAAAACCCCACCTCTCACTGCTAGTAGTTTTAAACCCACGAGTTCACAAGCAGAGAGTTAAACAGCAGCAGTGCTCTGCAGAGAACCTAGGAAACTAAACATAAAGGATGCATAGGCAATTCTTTTCCATTAAATTTGTTAAAGCAAAACACAATTACTTGGTACCCCATAGGATTTCTATTAATCCCTCCAATAAGGTACTATTGATAATGCAGTTTGCTGCATGCATATATTGCATCTGTCTAGAGCTTCTTCAAAGCCCTGTTCTGGCATTTACACTTCTTACATACACTCCTATACACAATTTACACGGGAAGCTGTTTTGACAGCTTTACTCTCAAAGACCCGACAACCTGCTCACTATCAGCGTAACTACTCATCTCCACACAGATTAGTATGTGCTCTGCTAACATCAAAAAATAAAATCAGCATAAGGTACAAGCAAGTAATAGACAAACTGGCACGGAAAGGTAAATGCCCCAAAATGAGTTTACATTCATCTCCAACTGGATACAGGTAATAGAAAAGCAGCAGCGCTTCGCTTCTAGAAACTGTATCTACTGGCCGTCACTCGCCTCGCTTCAGTAAAGGGCAAGCACCTTTGCTTACATTGTCTCCATGCCTGTACACAAGCTGTCATGGCATTCTACCTCTCATGAGGACACTTAGCTATGGCAGTGATAACAAAGTTCACCTATCAAACAGCTCGTTAGAAAGGTCATTTTGTGTTTTCAATATGAAACATCTTATATGGTGAAGTGAGATCCTAAGGTTTTGAATGATCTTCATGATCTTTAGGCAGGACTTCATTCTGCGCTGGAGTATCAGTCTCGCAAGCATGTGCCGTCACTTCAAAATTATGTGGAAGCCTTCACCATTTTCAGCTGAAAAAGAAAAAAAGCATCAGTCTTTCGTAAAGAGAACCATAAATACGTGACCCAACGCAGCAAAACATCAAAGTAGGGACTTGGCTTTTACTGTGTAGAAGTGGTTCGTTACTACTATGAAATATGAAACTTGAAACCTCTGAAATATCAGAAGCGTGCTGCTCAGACTAAACGCTTGAAGAGTTTTTTAAAATCTCTCTGGTTTGCAGTTAGTTCTGAACTCTTCCTATTGCACACTAAACCCACCGCATGTGACAGTGACATTCAGCTCATGGAAATTAGTTAACTTCTGCAAGACCAGTCTAAATCCTTAGCGAATGTTTTTAATCATCACTTTTGTGATGCGCGGCCTTAAACTATAGCAAGCTAAAGGGAAACAGTGTTTTAAAAAACCACCCTGGGGATTTTATGTGTAGAAGCCAGCAGTACCACCAAGAGGATTAACAACTAGGACGAACAGGTCTCTAATGGTCACTAACCTTGCAAGTAGGTTTTACACTACACAGAACAGTTAGTTTCAAGTTAGGATGCTGATGAAGTGAAGCAGACTATAAAAATACAGCTCATTTACAGCAAAAAAAAAAGCTTTTAAAAATTTCCAACTTGTGCTGAAAAATGTTACAATTAACAATTTGTAGTTGGATCTTCAAAGCTGGGACAGTTTCTGTCCGTAAAATTTGCAGAGTCAAACCTGTCCACTGACAACGGCCATGTCCTGGCACCTTTTACCAGAAATAAACTGGACTCTGAAAAAAGTGTGGGATGCACCTGAAACAGCTGCTGCGTGCAGGGGAGACTCGCACCGCCCGCTGAGGAAACCTGAACAATGATGGCCGCGGGCTGCAACCCAGTGTAACTGCACGCACACGACCGAAATGGTTCCACCCGAGTGGAGGCCCCGCAGCCTTCCCAGCCAAACAGCCACCTCCCGTCCCCGGCAGCAGCCTCCCGAAGGTGGTTATGTGTTGGCAGTGAAACAACAGAATTTTATACTCGGTTCTGCCAACTGTCAGGACTCTCTTTCGGTTTCTGAACTTCAGAGGTACTACTGCCAGGATCTTATTTATTTTTTTTTTTTAATGTTGAAATGTCACCATTCTCAACAATTATCAACAGCAAGGACTGTTCATTGATGGATGACTGAGTTTTAAATGGGGTTTGTTGCCAGGTGCTGCGCTGGTTCTGAACTGGAAGCTTGGCGAAAGGGCTGAGGTGCTGCGCAGAGGCTGGAAGGTCTGGCTGGGAGAAGAGGAACTCACTGATAACTTTCTGCCTGTTGTGTATGCAGATTTTTTTTTTTTTTTTTTTTAACAAGTCAGCCTTCACTAAATCTGCCATTACTCTTTGCTTCGGGAAGTTTTACTAGAAGAGTATTCTGCTCTAAAGAAAGCTCCTTGGTAGAATAAAGAATTACGTTTTAGACTGTCAGAAAATACACTGTACCTTTTATTGTGGTGAATAAGAAACAACTCTCATCTTGAAAGTTTTGAACCATCTAAAAAAAAAAAAGTTTTAAACACTCCAGAGTATGACCAATGCAAAAAAAACCCCAACATCAGATATTAAACTTTAATAAGCAATTGGTTATTTTTGGTTTTATTCAACAAGTGACAAGCATATACTAAATTAAAATACACCACTGTCAAAATGCTGCTTGTTAATCACGTGACAACCAGCTGGGAGCCCGTTACCGCTGGCTGTGGTTTTGGAACTCTCAATACGTGTAACAGATGCTTGAATAAGCCAAGTTCAAAAGTATTTAAACACTCCCTGCCTTTGGGCACGTTCAAATCAAATACCTACCAAGTAATTGCTGCAGCATCTCAGAACTATATAGACCAGCTGCCTTTCTCTTCTCCTAATTTGAATTTATTCAGGTAGAGTGACATTTAAAGGCTCCTTCTGCTCATTATAACGTAAAGGAAAAAATACTCTAAATGTCAGAAAATACGAAGTTGCGTCATCAAACAGAAAAACCAATAATAAAGAAGCAAGCACAAGAAAATCCTCCATTCTATTTAATTCATAAATAAAATTTGACAAGAAAATAAAATTACCATTACCTGATCACTAACAAGAATGTGGATACCTGTGGGACCCTGTCTGTAAACCTGGTTGATCTGATGCAAAGGAATATTAAATGCCAAAGCGAGCTTGCGTGTGACTTCTGAGGCTGCCATCTCTTCTAAGTAGATTGCATGATAAACTACAAGAAAAAACAAAAGTATTTAAATAAGCATGGCACTAATTGATGGCTAACTGTATGAAAAAAATCTGAATTCGTTTATACCCTTTTTAAAAGGTAAAACCCTTTCCTTTACTCTCCCCCCATTCTCACTAAGCAGCATGAACTGCCAGGACTTTTCTTTCAAGGTGAGGTCATAAGGACACCTCTCCGACAAGGGGGAGGTTTCTGTTTGCTCTGATACTGAAGGCGACCTCCGCATTTTTTCCTGCATCCTGCACAAAAAGGCACAATCACATCAGACAAACGGATCTTTAGAGTCTCACCTAAAGATGACTTTGGAAGTGGTTTTGGACCATCTCAAAAGAAGCAGATAATATGTTTGACTGACACTACTACGCTGTTGCTTTACATAAGGATGTTGGGGGTTTTTTTTCTTTCTTTTTTTTTTTTTTTTTCCTTAAAGAAAGCATATTTCAACCATCAGAGTAAATTTCCTACAGATCATCTCAGAGCTGAAGGGCAGTGGGGGGGAAATACAGCCCAGCAAACAAACAGAACAGTGAGACAAAGTAGCTGCTCAGTTTGATGCTGTATTTGCAGCCTATAGCTTTAATAGTGCTAGAAGCCCTCCGCAGCTCCGAGTTTGCACTTTCCTCTGTCCCAAACCAAAGGCTGCAGATATCCAGAGGGAAAATACGGTTTTTGACTTGGACAGTATCTTAGTAACAGATCCTCCTCCACCTCAATTCTTGCATGGAAAATACACAACTACTATTACAGCAGCAGCCTATGCAGACTTCTGTTGGTTGGCTGGGGAGGGAGCCAAGGGCAAGAAACGAGTCACTTCAAATAGCTCCATTCTCTCAATTGTAAGACTGACACGAATTTACAATTAAGTTCCCCATCTGTGCTGACACAACAGCTATCTCAGAAAATAATACTAAAATCATGAGCCCATACACTGCTTGGCTGCATTTCCTTGTCCAGGCTCTACCAGATTTAGTTCAAGTGTGCAGAAAATGACAGCGAAACCTAACTGAAAATGAGAAAGAATCCAAGTGGTTTTTGTTTGTACATAGCTTTTACATGCACCTACATTTAACCTGGTTAATTCCCTGGCTGTAACAACATTGCACAGCTAATTTGAGAGCTCCTTAACTCCTACAGTTAGTTTTATCAACAGACTGAAAAAAAAAATCAATGCTTTAACTTTGAGAGGTTTTAAGGTTCTCTTCTTCATCCCGTGCAGTGTTAAAACAGCAACGTTGTTCTGAATACAACTTCCTGTGGTTTCTCTGTACACCACAGACATTCAGGCTCTCCACTATTCTTTTCTCCTTCCCATCTATCTTGTTTTAGACTTTTTAGGACACCGAAATAGTATGCTAAGAGACCTCCTACGCGCCATACCGTATATTGCACCATTGCTGCTATCACCGTTGCCAGCATCTTGTCTTTCCAGTTCCATGCTCCTTAATGGCTCCTGACAGACATAGATTGTTAAACGGGGCCTGACAGACCTGCAATGCCAACAAATCACGCGTCAGAGAAAAGGTTACTTGCCCTGGAAATATGGAAACTGATATGCCACAAGCGTAGATTTGTTATGCTAATGGCATACTCGAAATGTTTTTTTTTCACTGACAAAAAAAAATTAATATAACGGTAAGTGGTCTCTCAGATGCTACTGCATTTTAACAACACTGCGATCAATTCCGAGTTCACCAAGACACTGCTTGTTGGAATCCCAAACACAACTACTGAGTAACCACGACAGTTGGTACAGAGGTCAGTGGCACAGTGCTTCAGTCAGTACCAGACGCACCAGCCGGGGTGCTGCCTGCCTTAGCACGCAGCACCTGGGACCTCAGGAGGCCGCCGGTTGCTCTTGGCTCCCCTGAATGACAAGTTTTGTGTCTTGGCAACAAACCCATCTGTTTTCAAGAACTTGGCAGTGCCCGCTGCACCCGTACCCATCCGACAGCCTGCCTTCGAACCGGCCACTGCCGCGTCTCATCAGGGTCTGCCCTGAAGGTGAGCACAGGACATTCTTCTTACACGTACCGCTCCCCGTTCACAGGCACCGAGGCCCCACCCAGTTCCAAGGGAGGGGGGGGGACGGGACGGGACCCGGTAAATGATAGAACGGAACCCACTCAACACATTACCTGGATTTCAGTGCATTATATAGCCGAATTCCATCGGCCGGACCACAGATTTGTACCAGATCTTCTCTTGTCAGCTTTAATAAATCAGCACCTGGAGCAACACATGAGGATTTTACAAAAATTCTTTTAGAACATCTATACTTTTAAAAATAAATTGCATGTTCACTGGAACCAAGAATAACAAACCCCACCGCTACAAAAATGGAATCCTGTGAACACGAACAAGCAAGTACAATTTACACTAGGCACCAGCGAGCCCTAAGAAAAGCCAGTGGATTTTCCAGAGGTGGTTAGTTTCACTTGATGGTGTTCACATCCCGACACAGTACAAAGTCTGCACGGCACACAATTTCTGTAGAGACAGATGACTGTTCAATACCCAGACAATGGCTTAAATGACTCAAAGTTGAAACTGACACCCAGGTTAGCGTATTTTAAACGCTGGGAAAATACAGAGAAGGATATTTGATGGTTTCTCACTCAACGAATCATCCCAGTCATTCAATACATATCCTCTATGCACTGAAGTTATTACAATGCACTCATTTATAGAAGGTGCTGCTAAAGGCTGGCGTAACTACATCAGCGTGGTCCGATCAGCACATCCGCAGCCTATGGGGTGAATCCAGGCTGTGGGATGCTTCCGTCCGAAAGCGGGTGGGTTTTTTTAAACAATCCTGGGAATAAGCGATCTCTGAAAACAACCGCTTCAAGAACACTTACTTTAGAAAAGGAAGCTTCAATAAAAGATACTAAGCAGATCTAAACACAAAATGGAAGGATGCATACTTCTCAAGAGCAGCTTGGGTATCAACAAAGAAAACAACAGTCTCAAGAACCAGTCACTGTAACAGACGAGTGGGAGGGCAGGGGAAAAGAAAAAGATAGTATTTATTCATGAAAATACTCTACAGACAATCTAGGAATGCACAGGTAAAAGCCAGCAAAAATAATTTGCCATCATACCCGTTAAGTACTATAATAAAAAACACCACCACACCTGAAGTAGTGTAATTAAAAGCTACACTACACTTCTTGCTTCAAAGAAAATCGATCGGCCAATTAGTATTTGACTTCTATAAAGATATAAAGATAATAATCAAGAAGATGATCTGCTCTAAAAGTATTCCAAGGGTCTCTGTCAGAAATTTGGTACTAACATGTACTGAGAAAGCTTAGCAATCTCAACACAAGAAGCACAAATCAAAAACCAACCAGCAGCAGCAGACTAAATGGTCAATTGTCCAATGCTGCAAGGGCTGACAATAAAATATTGTGCTTTTCCATCAGGCCCATGGTATTTAAAATCATCATGTCACTGATTAACTAAGGACCCTTAGTGTGTCAGTCTTGATGAGCTGGTAGCTGCTGTTGGTTCAGGGGCGCCTGCGGCAGCACTGCCCACTGACACACGCAACCAGGTCGCTTGGCTGGAAGGTGCGCTGAGCCACACTGGGAGGGAAACCCAGGACAGCCCAACTTACTGCCGAGACAGCTCGTAGTGCCATGTGGTTCTTACACATTACATATGTTAATCTGGGTTTTTTCCCCTCAAAGAAATCATATTCTTATGTCCCAAAAGCTGCAGTTTTTCCAGAGGCCTCACCACCATCTAAAGGTCGGGTCAGTTTTTATCTGGAGAAGTAATATTGCAATGAAAAACATCGTGGACCCCTGGGGTCTCAAAATTTTAGTTATTTTTATTATATTACTGTATTATTATATAGCTTACAAAATTTTAGTTATTGCTGCCCAAATTGATGTCACCAGATCTATACATAAATAACTTCTATCAGCACCATGTTTCCGTATGGTTTGCTGAGGAAAGTACTGCAAAATACTGGCGCATTCATTCGTGAGATTGCAGAACTTCCTTTCTCAGGGCTGGATGACACCTTCACAGCTTGTTCACAAAGGCTAAATGTGAGCTTATTTCTCAGAACCCGCATATCCTAGCAGAAAGCATTATGAATTTTAGGCGAAAAACATTAAGCAGCAGCAAACAGAACTGATTAGCGACAGAAAGAGAAAACTTTGAGTCTTACAGATTTCAAGAACGCCACGTTAAGAGAACCTGTACTTTCGGTCTGGACCGAACGTGGTCTCGACCAGGGAAGATGCAAAGGGAATTCTGGCAGAAGCGTCAGCTATGCTACGTGGCGGAGAGCAGGAATTATTCACCAGATTCTCCCCATCATGTGTTGCCAAAGGAAACTGAGAAGGAATTTTACTCATGGAGTGTACTGTGTCATCCCACTCTTTGCCCGATTTCATGGAGGATTAAAGAAGCAAACGGCAAAACACAGCCCCAGATAGCGCATCTAATGCCACTTCTTGCTTCCATACGTATAGTGGGAACTACACCGACACGCATTTAAGGAAGAGCAGTCAGACATTCTGCTGAAATGAAACAAATAGCCAAATACATGTAGATAAAGGACTTTTCCTCCTGCATAGCACTGAAGTGGAGTTTGATACAAAAAAGAATTTGCCATTTCTGTGAATAAGATGACTATTCACAGCTTCAGAGTTTGGAAAGGTGAAGCTTTATATACTACAATTAAATCTACGTCCTAAGAAAAGATCTATCATGGGGCAGATGTTAGCAATTTCTTGCGCTTTCTTTGAGATCCCTGCATACTGGCTGCCATTAGGAAACAGCATAGCAAAACAGATGGCCTGCTGGTCTGACTCACCAAATTAACTTATTTCTCAAAGGACTACTTAAGGTTAAAATGATTTAGTGAACTATCGTCAGGGAAAAAAGAACCTATCTTCACTTTTGGGCGTTAGGGTGAATTTGTGCAAAACACAACTAGAAAAAAATGCCTTTCGATGCAAACTGAACATTCAATAAGCAAATTAGTAAATTACAGTAAATATTGAAGCCATATTCTTTTTAAAAAAGTATTTTCCCACACAAAACTTGCTCACTAACACACAAAGACAGACTCAAAAAGTAAACGACAGATACCTGAGAAATTTGAAAAAAGTCTTGTATAGGTAGAGAACCTATGCTTGAGCAACCATTGCTGAGTTTCCTGGATTGTGGCTGAAGGATGAAGCTGCTGTAAGAAACAAGATTGGATATGATAATTTGGATATTAAATTAAAACCCCAAACCATTAAAAAAACCTCCGTCAGTTCAACACTTTCTCAGTAGCTATTAATATCAAGATATGTACAAATCAAACGTCCTGACACAACTACAAATGTAGCCACGATCAATACCAGAAAGCAAACACTCACATCTCCAGACCCTTGAGAGGTTCCATCTCCTTGATGATTTGGGGAGGAAGAATTGCTACAGATAGGGGGGGGGAAAAAAAAGTATTACTAGAAAATTATTAAGCAAAGTATTTAAGCACTGCTGAAAAATAACCTGAAATTCCCACAGCAATCAATATCTCTGTTGAAAGACAAATTAAATGCTGCAGAGTGAAACTTCTGTCTTAAAGGGTGACTGAGGAAGACGTAGTAAAATACAAGGCAGACACAACAGACAATATTACTGTGGTTCATTCCTTGATCACCTAAGTTTAATTACAGTAGTTTAATTAATGCCTCAATACAAAACGTTTTTGCCAATACAATTTCTGTTGTAATGCTTGTTAAGATTATTGCTGGGTTTTTTTCCTTGCAAATTATATTAACCGTGTATGAGAGGAATCAAGACTGTTCTTACTGAAAAAAGCTAACTAGTTTCCATAGACAAGGACTAAATTCAAATAGTTAAAAGGTAAAGTGTTTGCTATATGGACAAAGGATAAGAAGAAAAGTTTCCAACAATGTATAGTGAGAAAGAAAAATGCTGAAGCAGAATTACATTATAATTGAATCACAATGCACATGTCAAATTCCAAAATAAATATATAGGTCAAAACAATCTCTCATTCCCCGATGAGCCCAGAAAACAGTTGCAGGCTCCTAGATTTACTCAGAAAACACTTGAATGATCCTGATTTTAAAACGCTATCTTTAATTAAGATACGGAAAAGAAACCTACCTGTCTGGGACACTGTAGGTATTATGTTGAGCAGAGGTAAAAGTTGGAGCAGGAGTAGGACTGTTGTTTACAAATGTTGTAGGAGTATCAGGCCATGGTGAGCACTGAAGATGAAGAATAAAAACTTAAGTTTCTCTTGACAGTACATTTTTTACTCTGATACACAGTTTTTTCATTTAAAGCTAGGTTTTTTTTCGACAGAGAATTTTAATTTGTAATTCCAAATAACGATTCCCTCTGTCCCACACATTGCATGCAGACACTCGAGGCAAAAATCAGTTTTGTTTTATCTTGTTCTTTCAAAAAGACTGCTATTTATACCATCCCCTGTTAACAAAGTCAAGGTATTAGTGGTGGAACTGGCAAAAGACCTGTACAGATTATTCAGTTTAAAACCAACCAACCACCCCAAGCCATCTGCTGAAAAAACTTCTTTCATCCTAAAAGGGATGAAGGGGCTGTTTCAACTGCAGGTATCATGACCTGACAATAGGTGTTCAGTAGTTATGAAGCTAGATTTCATTTTGTGGATAAATTTAATGTATCTGCCCTGACAGCAATTAAATACAAGTAGAATTTTCAGCAGAAATTTTGTGAATGGAAATTTTTTATTAATTTACTGCAGGACTAAAATGATGCTTACATGTACTGCTTTCTCTAAACTGCTTGATAAACTGGAATTTAAGTCATCACAAGTATGAATCAGCTGCCGTATTTAGTCGGTCTTTTCTGGGTATTTTTCAAACCACCATGATAAAAATCCTTCAAAATGAGACTAGCTTTTAGTGTTTCCAATACCACTGCAAATTCAGTATTTTAAAGACAAATAAAAAACACATTTTGGAGTGTTCAAAGACAAACAGACAGGAGTAAAACAAGCAAGTTTCCCGAGACAAAGTAAGCTAAGACCATGCCTTTTAAAACAACAAAGATTTCTGATATGCACCAGCTAAATACCCTGTTCCAGAGTTGTATCACAGCCTTGCGGGAGAGGAGGAGGAGAGAGGGGAACAAGTACGACCGAAGATTAGTGGAAAAATATTTCAACAATTTTGTGTTGAAAGACCCTTTCACTATCTGGGGGAAACAGTAAATGAGCGCAATACCAGCTGCCATCTTCTGTAAAACTGTTAGTAACATTTCTGTACTAGAGTCCACTCTTCACTGGTCAGAGTAAGTCTGCAAGTTCCCCATCACGTTGCATACAATTTAAAAAAATTAATCTTGTATGCCAATAGCTTAAAAATTAGGAAATTCTTCATCTGTCCAAGATCTGACTCAAACCAGTATTTTTGCTAGCCACTGTGTACACCTTTGATTAGATAGTCAAAGCCATAATTTACAAACAGTGCCATCCACCCACATGAAGTACATTCTTCTACAACCTTTTAGTATTACACACTTCCTCCTATTCTGTATATTCCCATCTGTTGTTTCTCTTCTGAAGTGCATTTTAACATCAATCTCAAAGATGTTATAACAGGTAGTTAAAACAGGCCTTCATTCCCTACTTATGTGGTCCAAAGCCAAAATTTTAAAATAAAAGCTCAACACAATAATGTTAATTTTTTTCTTCTGAAGTATTTTGAAAGTATAATTAATTTTCTTTAATTTTCTGACATTCTCTCCCAAATTTTAATGCAAGATATTTATCTGGACACACAGACGCAAGCTGTACATCGTTAGCCACTATTCTATTACAAGATTCTGTTCAACATATATTTAAATTCAGGGGTAGGGAAGAATGCACTGGTCTCAGAGACCAGGTTTTGAACCATTCCCCAGACATGTAATGCAGTTAATGTTTCTGTCCTTCTAACCCAGCTGAGGTTGTTCACAACAAAACTCTGAGTTTAAACACAGGAAGAAGCACATTTGAAATATTCAGAAAAAGAAAATCCAACCCAAAGCAAGCAGCCTTTCTTCTAGAAACACACTTTCCTACCTCGTCTTCTCTTCCAGCAAAAATGTTACCAACTATCCACTGAGACTGAATCAGTTGGTTGAAAAAAAAATTAAAAAGTAGTAGTAATTATATTACTACTGAAACATTCCCATTGGCTCAGTTCTCCTTTTTAATGTCTTACACGTTGAGATACTTAATTCTGAAAGTTTCAAGGAATACAGAAGCCTAGCATTAAAAAAAAAAAAAGCTACAGCATATATTCTTCAAGTGTCTTCTGACAACTAACGCCATCTGCTTGTGCTTTCAGTATCACTCGCATGCCCAACTGTCCCACACTTGACAAACCCACTGTGTTCAGAAGCAGGATTAGACAAACTCGTGGGCATCAAATCCCTTACCACTAAGACGACTCAGCAGGGCTGTGCTCTGCAGCATCCTGCGTGACAATTCTGCGCACCACGGTGTTATGAGGGGAACGGATCAGGGAAGCACCAACGCTTCCCTCTCGCAGCCCGTCTTGAACCAGCACCCGCAACTGCCACTGCAAAGGACAGAGCACTGGGCTCTACAGACTTGTAGTCTGATCCATCAGGGTATTTCTTACACTCCTAAGCCCAAACCCAAGTTAACCAAAGGAGATTCAGCAAGCTAATGATACTAATACAGAAGTCCCTGGCCATTGGATGTAAATTTAAAAGAAAAATGTCACTCTGTCACAAGGAAGCATCCAACTCTGTAAAAAGCCATCACAGAACGCAAAACAGACGGGTGCTGTATCTTTACCTGTAATGAACAATGAATACATACTGGTAAATTTTCAAAGAAGTTGTTTTTGAGGTCTCAAGACTAACTGCCCTCCATTACTAGTACACTGATACAATACTACTGATGCAACTGTACTCCAGAAATTATGCCTTAATTTCCAAACACTTACTAATTCTTGCAAAGGAGAAAACTATTTTGGTCTCAGATCTTTAACATTCTTGTGTATACAACATGAATGAAGTTATAAACTGTTGACCAATGGTTTTACTGAATTAAAAAGGAAGACAGGAAATGTTTCTAAGTATGACTTTTCAGACACGGGATATGTAGCATTTAAACTCACAACGTTCCTAATGTCTTAAGAATTGCAAAAACTCAAGTTACTCAAAGCCACTGTTTAATGTCATTTCCCTTCCTACTTCCAATCTACCTGAATCTGCCCAAATTCATGCTTTACAAGAGAGTAAAACTGAACTTTGGCAAAGAACTCCCTACTATATTCAAATACCAAACCAATATGAAATCAAAATGTTTGTTCTCTAAATTAAGCTTATTATACTTGGGCACACAGCATCATCTTTAGAGAACACGACAGCAACTTTATTATATCTGGGACAAAGCTTTTTCAAGGAACCTGCAAAATACAGGGTTCTGCCCCAAACAACTGCAGCTGATGGCAAAAGCAAAAAAAATTCTGCTCTTATAGGCTTAATTATTCTGAATGCAGAAAGTCATTCACATTATGTATCCTGGATGCTGCTGATACTGCTATATGAATTATAGATACATGTAAGGAGAAACAAATTGAAGAAATACTATATGCTTATGTTACTAAATTAGTTTTGCTCCAGCTCCACTTTGACTCTCACAGCCTCCAGAAGGTTTTTATATTCTAAATTTAAGTCACTTACAGAAAATATTTAACTTCTGCACCAATCTTTCACGTCCAAAACTTAATGTTCTAATTTATTTCGAGGTCTATACCTGCAAGTCTTCTAACTTCCATGTGCCCTATAATCAGCTCTATCTGCAAAAAAAAGACCATCTGACCAAGTTTAATCAAATTGCAGATTTATATATTCTAGCTTGTGACATATAATATAATATATACTAATATAAAAATCAACCAAGATACTGCTGACAGAAAAAAACCCCAACTATCACAATACAAATTTGCCTGTTTTTTAAATTCAAAGCCTGGGAAAGAATGTGGTGGGGTTTTTTCTCTTCTTCCTTAGATAGGCTCTAGCTTCTATATATTTGGAAGAGAGGAAAAAATAAAGTGCTTCCCTTCATAAAATGGCCCCTGGCCGAAGGTCACCTGTACATAAACATCCACTCTGAGGTCCAGAAGGCAGCATTACTTTTGTAGCCTTTTATCTCTACAGAAAAAAAAAAATCAACGCTCCACAGTATGAGAGTCAGTCTTGACAAGTAAACTATGCATCTGTCTGTCTGGAAAATACTGTGATAAATACTGCAGAAATTGCAGTGAATGCACTGAATTTTTGAAATATCAGATGAATAAAAAAAAGCAATAGAAAAGCATATCTAGATGGCATTCTTATGAAAATGAATGAGAAGCAAAAGATGGGTGATGATAATTAGAAAAAAAATCTCTGGTTCTTAGGAAAGGATAGGAGAAGAGAAGAGCAGAGCAGCATGACCATTCAGAAAGGAAGCTTCACCAAACTCTTTGTATTGCATTAGAATCCCATACAAATTAAACTGGAAAGACAAGATATTAGATTCAATGTTTCCTGAAGGAAGCACAGTAAGAAACCATTTGTCCAAATCAGATTGTGGCTGAGCTGGAAGAAATCATACAGGAAGGAGAAGAAAAAAAAAAAAAAAATTAGAAATATTCAGCAAATAAAACAGCAGAATCTTGGAGGGGAAAAATAAAAAAGCCAACATACAAAATGAGATGCAAAATGCAAGGAACAAAAAAGACAGCCTATATGATAGGTTAGGTGTAGCAGGAAGATAACAATACCCAGCTTTAAAAAGGAAGAGAATTATAGATTGGATCAACCTAAATTTCTGGAATTCAAGAAAAGATAACAGAAAACTATTTCTGGGCATCTAGGAAGCAGCATTGGCTAAGCAACAGCCAGCACTCTCAGCTTTGTCAAGGAAACAATCCGGTTTTGCTTCTGTAATGTAGCCACAGTTCCTAAATCATGTGAAGTACAAGATCCACCATATATAAAGATCCAACATGTAAAACAGAGTCAATTCTCATACTTAAATGTAGGGAAACAGGTCTTTACAGTTTTTGTGTCTAAGCCCCTCTGTGATGGCTGTCCTGGACATACGGGGTACGTCTGATCGTGACATAGGAGGCAAGTCTGATAACAGCCAAACCTTCTGATGGCTACGTTTGGGAAGACAGATTTGCAAGGACAGAGTTGCTCTAAGTAGAAACATGCATCATCCCCTGTCCATCTTTACAAGGACTACAAGAATAAGCCTGTCTAGTGACAAGAGAAAGAGGCTGACGAGTTGGCTTTCAAGCTGCAAATCAGACATTCCTTTTCTAGATCAAGCAAACAAGTCATATGCTCAACTCACAGAGTTAAAAGCAGTACTTCATGAGCGTACAGTGATTACCCAGGCTTCACTAAGAATACAGCAAAAACAGTGTTTCATGGTATTTTTATGGGTTTGGTGGTTTCTAATAATTTTGCTAATGATAAAAATCATTATCATGATGGAACAGGTTACGTGTTAAATCTGCAGATGATACCAAGTTAGCTAGGCTGAAAGCATTTCACCCTACAGGAATAAAATTCAAAATGCTCTCAACAAACTGACCAAATGATCTCAAGATAGAGTTTTATTAACGGCAAATGCAAACCAGGAAGAGTCAGCTGCACCACTAAAAGAACTTCAAAGCTGCACATAGTTGTTATTCCAAAATAGTCTGTGGGTCATCCTTCATCCCAAGGAAGAAGCGAAGAAATACACACGTACACGCTCTCCCTTGTGTCCTTTGGGAAAGGCTTTAGAAGTCCAGTACTACCTGTCCAAACTTAATTTTTCTTCACTACAATTAAGGTAATGCTCCCATTATTCATAGAAGCTTAGTATCTCATGAGATTGCTAAATTAAGAACAGACTAAAGAACTTCCAGGTATCATCTAGCTACAGTTTGTCCTACTCTGGACAAGAGATTTGTTAGATCTTTTAAAAATGCCTTTTTATATTATTCTTCCTATAAGCAATAATCATTCAATGAAGTACTTTTACAACAGAAAGAGAAGAGAGCATGGGGGGAGGAGGGGAGGGGGGGACGGCAGAAATCCTTCCAAGGACCAGCTTCATAAGATGCTTCAGATGTGCTTTCTAAGTGATAAAATCCTGTCTTCTCCTGTCTGCACTTCCCCCCCAGGATCATCTGGAACAAATGAAAGAATGTCTGCATCACCAAAGAATGCTGAAGCTGCATCTTAAAGGAAAAACACATCAACCAAGAAGAGTAGAATCTTCGGGGGGGGGGGGGGGAATCCTCCAAAGAACCCATCTGACTTCACGTTGTTTCTTCCCTCCCACCCTGTTACACAGTTTATAAAAACAAGAGGCATACACTGAAGTATTTTATAACCTAAACCTTAGACATCACTTTCACAGACCATCAATACAAACTAAATAATGTCTGAAGACAAGAGTCAAGTCATTGCCTAAACGCTGCTGGGAAAGAGCTGTCAGCACAATATGCCTGTTCAAAGAACAGTCAAATAATTGTCTTCCACAGTCACATTACTAATTGACATTTAAACTTGACAAATGGAAAATGCAGGGCTGTTTCTCATCTGAAAAATGTAAGGTCTTAATGATATTCACCTTAAGAAAGATCACTTAAGAAATCTAAAATGCTAACCCTTGACAGGAAGAGTTCGCAGGATATATGTTAGATTCATTCTGGGGGCACACACAGGGTTAGCGTACACATATCATGAAAATGCGCTGACTCTTCTAAACTGCATCAGCCCTGCTCGGAGCACAATATGTAGATGATGGCTAAAGGAAAAAGGAACTAACGATCAACCATCTGCAATGCTACACAGCTTTTTAAAAATATTGATGTACATGGAAACTTACATTGAATGTAAGTACAAATACAGAACAAAACACTAAATTTCACTGTTCATACTTCCACTAATTACACACACACAGGAAAGCAAAAAGCTGCTTCATTTAAAGTTGCATAAATGGAAAGCTCTGGACTTCTTTTAAAAGAAGTTACGCAGTCCCTCTGCAACAGTTTAAGTGTTAGATTTAGGAAGGATTCCTTTGCTGAAAACAAACATGCAGTAATTGGTATACATAAAAGTGAATAAAATTAAAACACAGCAATTAAAATATTTTTACTTTATATAATGGAAGTTTCTCCTATATCTAACACTGCACAAGGTATCTTGCACAATGAAAAGGTAAGCAGAAGTCCCTTACACTGCCTCGCTTTGCCAGAGAATCACCGTAGTCTGCTGGCAAAGTCCGCTTGCTGGACTTTTTCTGCTCATGTTCAACTGCATCTTCAATTATAGGCTCAAGCCTCATCTGGACAAACACCAAAGATTTGGATCAATTTCTTTTCATTATACAGTGAGGAAAGATCTAACAGCCTTTTAAAAACTTCTGAAATCTTTAGAAAACTGCACAGAACTCACTGATGTTTAAAAAAAAAGAAAATGCAAAAACGTACTGAGGCTCTGGCCTTAAATTCAGTAATCTCCAAAAAATACACTTGGAAGCTCAGATTTGGCAGATAATTAAATTCCAGATTCCCCCCTCTTTCTTTTTCTTTTTTTTTTTTGCTTTTTAGATCTGTACCAGAAGACTTGCTCTAGGGTTCAGTACAGTCTGTCAGTGTTCAATCTTAGTGTGTTTTAATACAAGTATGTATCAAGTATGTTAATGAAAGTTTACTAAACAACATCTTAAAATTTAATGTTGCTGTTCACTGGACGAGTTTGTCAAATAAAAAGCTTATCTTTGTGTAGAACTAATTCTTCCCCAACCCTTCCAAGACTGCAGCTAAGTTACACACTGTACCTATGTATTTTCACCTCAGTAAGCAGATATTTTGTTACCTCTGTAAGAACTGTGGTGTCATATGAAGGCTGATACTTTTCTTTTTCATGTGCAGTTCGCTTTTCCATCTTTTCTCTGTCTGTTTTCTGTTTCCTGTCTGCTCCTTTTGGCTAAAAGTGAACAGTTACATGAACAAGAAAGCAGGTGGAAAACAGTTTTGTAACTGAAATCTGATCTCAGAAGTCAAGCAGTAATATAAAGATGTCCCCCATCTTTATTAGAGCTTCTGAGAGATGTATCAAGGACCTCTTTTCTACTGTTACCTTAAAAACTTTTATTTGACAACTGGCTGAATGCAGATGATCTGTATATTCTCCATTTTCAGTCTGTTTAAAAGTGTCAACCTGAATCCTAAAAGGAACTCCTTTCTCTCCTCCATGTTTACGAGGGGTAAATTCAGTGCTGATACAATGTACCTGGAAAAAAACAATGACCAAACAAAAATGACCCTCAGAAGTATTCTAGACATGAATTTCATTATGTGTTACCAACATCATACACATTTTCTATGGACAAGGAAGAAATTACCCAACCTATCTGTGGACCAAGCTGCATAACTAACGTTTTACTACTTTTTATGCCGACATGCAAACAAAGCAAAAGCATTGTATTTGAGCTGACAGAGAAGAGGGGAAGCAAGCAAGCATGTCGCCAAAATCTCTCCAAAAAGCAGAAGTCATCATAGATTCTGATTAAAAGAGAACTTGCTGGATCTTAAGAAAAATGTACATGGATGACAACTATATCTATGATTACTATAGCAAAAACTTTTTCAAGATACTATTGTCCAATGCATTATAGCTAGAATAAACTTCAGAGTTACTTGTAATATATATTACTAAAGCTGTAGAATGTCACTGACTTGAAGAGTTTTTAATCTCACATGAAATTAGGGTACTGTCAAATATGCCCGATTTCCTATTAAAGTCAGCACGCTTTTTAGTCAGTATGTAATTGCCTCAAGTGCTTCATCACTACCCCTAAAAGATATCTAAGGAGAAAATCAGTGTAACTGAAAGAGTTACGATGAATCTCACTGGACGGTGCTCCCAATTTTTTTTTTGCTTCCTTATGGAATTTTAAGCGAGCCAAGCACCATGGATAATGGCATACCTTGCACTCTCAATGACTACAATACTATCTTTTTATTTCCTATAGCCATCAACAACAGAGAACCACAGATGGGAAACTGGAGCTTTAAGTGTGTAATCAGTGCTGCTCTGCTGTGTTCTCCAGTCTTCAGAAAAAATGAACTATACTTGCATAATTAGAATCCGTTCCATTTTCACTCAGTCTGTTCTCACTTCTTCTAAGGAAGTACATAAACAAAAACATTCAATAGTTTATCTCACACTCTTCAAGGAGACTACGTTTTAGTACTTGTGTAATTCTTACTAGAAAAAATGTCTTAAATTGTACCAGATCAAAGTTAATTTACTGACAATGTAGAATTTAAGCTATTTTGGCACCCTCAGTAAGAAACGCTGCTACCTCAAACTTTCTACCTTTTCTCCATAATAAAACCAGATCTGAGACAAAAGTAAACTAAAAACTCCAGTGCAAAACTGAACATTCCATCTAAGTAATTTCTAGAGAAAGCATGTTCAATTGCCCTGAATATCATATACATAAATAATAAAATTCCTACTACAATGAAGTCTACTGACATAGTAAAAAGCATCTTTAAATGTCTGCTTTCAAACTCTCTTTGTAGCCGATTAATTTTCATTTTGTATCCTCAAGCCAAGCCTCTGCCATAGCACCCCACTAGGAGAGTGGGCCTCTCAACTAATAAAAAGAAATTGTAGTGACAGTTATTTAGAGGGATATAAATTAATTTTAATACTCCATGTAACTAAATATTTTAACCATGGCAGCTTTCTGCAAAGAGCTTTTTCAAAGCCTTTTATTTAAGTTGTTTTCAAAAGATGCTTTTATAAACTCAAATCAAGTTGAAAAACCTGACTAGGAAACATTACAGAACTAACAGTTGCGATGAACCTGTGTATTCACAAAGCTGGTATTTCACGGCTATCCCACAAAGAAACAACCATGAAGCTTCATAGTGCAAATATACTACTGTTTGTGATCTGAAAGGCACCAAACAAACATCCAGTCAAGTAAAGTTTCAAACCTGAATAAAAGCAGATGTACATTTTGTTGGATCCCACAAAAATTCAACTGCATTGAGCTGGCTTGGATTTGTCTTGATATCAATGACTCCAACAGACATTGGAATATCTACATTAAAACAAGTAGTATATATTTTAAAATACTAATATTCCAAGAAAACACTAGATTTTAATATAAGGTTACCATCAGCAATCACGGGTAGGGTGAAAAAAGGTGGGCTTTGGTGGATTGACCATAAGCCCACAAACTTTTTCTCAGGACTAATCTGAAGAAACTTAGTAGACTCAACATACAAAGTTCTCAGGGTTAGGGGGTGTTTTTTGATTCCCTTCCTTCCCCACCACCGCCCCCCAGCTTACACAACAAAAATTATAAAGTTACGCAAAATTAAGAAACCATGTTGGTGTCATTTCCACAATCTACTAAAGACAGTTACTTTTGTCTGTGTTCTCCCAATTAGTGTAACATTTAATAATCAAAATTAGATCACTAAACGTATAAGGTTGCTATCTTACTTCTGCAGCAAAGGTTTTAAAGTAATTTGACAGTGGTAAGAACATTTATCTTCAAAATACACACTATGACAAAGCAGCACACAGAAAACTAGACTGTTGTTTTTTCACTAGCCCTAGCATAAATGTGACCACGATCAATAAAAATTTGGAAATTGAAATTGAATTTCATACCTAAGTCAAGAAGTCTGTCCCCAGGGCGGTTCCACTTCCAACCTTCTAGCTGCTGGTGTTCTGTGTATTGCAACCTTCTGTCATGGAACACAACTCTTATAATACTCTAACAAAGAAGAAAACAAGCATCTGATAAGCCACAAAGTTACTATATGTTTAGAAATCACCTGAATATAAAGCACTAGAATATTCCAGAATAGCCACAGTGCTGATAAACGCACATTTACAGCAAGAAAACTGGCAACCATCAGTATCCCAAAATATTCCAGAACATAGAAATAGAACTGAGCAGCAGGACATATTTGAAAATGTGGTAAAAATGCAAAAGATGATTACATCTGATTGCATATTCTAAAGGTCACTATGAATTACATGCAGTGAACTGAGCAGCAGCAATAGCATACTCTCAACACTGTGTAGGGAACACAAATTTATTTTAGAAAACAAACACAAAAGAATTCATTATTCTGCAAAACAGTGCATATAGTTCAACCATTTTCGTCCATTGGTAATTCTGTGATTTTTTTGTAGAAAATTTTGAGAAATAAAATTAATAGAACAATCCCTTCCTAGTACTTATAAACATATTTACAACAAATCATTTATTTTAATTAATAGTAAGAAGTAATAAACAACTTCCAAACTATTCCAGTTCTAGCTGAAATATTAACCTAAAAATACTGTGATACAGTTAACTTTGTTCAGCTAGAAGCAATTAGCCAACAATACCTATTTTTTGTGACCAGTTCTGCTACGACTGTGCTCTTAAGTCATATTAAAGAAAGGTCTCTGTTCTCCTGCATGAATGCACATACAAAGCAATTTGCTGCACAGAGGGGAAAAAAACTGTACACATGAATTGCTACTGAACAAACAAAATGTAGACAAACTTTTTAAAGTCTTATTTTTTCCCTTTACAGTCTTACTTGTATTCACAGTGGATAAAAGTGTTCAAAAAAACCCAAGAACTTTTATATGAAGTGCCTCCTCCAGATATACTGCATTTCCTTGGTTTTATTTCAAAGATATCAAGAAAGCACGCGCGTGTGCATGCACACATGCAAACAAACATACTGCTCCTTTTTCACTGCAAACTGGCAAGTTGGGAACTTGGAAATATCTGCAGCCACGTTCACCAACACAAAATGCCTTCTTTGTTGAAGTACTGGGATTCCAGTGTTTAAGGGTCCAAAATGGAAATTTGTTGATGCCACATTACAATACTTTGCTGTGATAAAATTTACTTTTTTAAACTTTTACACTGTTTTCTTCTATTTTACTGACCACACGGTTCACCATCAATATATGAACCTATAAAATTACAGCACAGAGATTCCCCAAAGCTACAAGGAAAAAGCACTAAGGGGACGAAACAGTCAACACGCTTACTACAGCAAGTCAACATGCCAGGCTGTAAAAGGTTTAATTACAGAACGCACAAATCCCAGTTTTAGACGTGTGCTTAACACGTCCTGAAATTATCTCTGAACAACCCACAGACAAATAGGAACAAGACGCAGGACTACACAAGCCAGCCAAAGTTCACAAATTATAAAGCCCAAAGTTGACAGGCGAAGACTCGGCCTCCCACAGGCTCACTGTTCTGGTGTACTTACCGGTATCACTATCAAAGCAACTTCCATTGAACTATTTTTCCTTCTTCCTCAACACATTAATAAGATTTTTCAGAAAATTTAATAGAACTGTCAGATGTGTATAAGAAAAGTCCACATCCCCACCCTCCAGTAGTTCTTTTAATAATTTGTGCCATGAACTGTACATTTTCCAGTCCACTTCGTTCTTATACTTCATGCAATACCTCGGATCCACCGCATCTTCTGCTAACATTAAAGCATAAGGAGACAAATCTGGAATTAGGAACAGCAGCTCAGCTATGGAACACACTGCTCAAGAAGCAGTAAAATTAGAGATCTGTTTTTCCACAGATACATCTATGCCAACATTACATCGCTGCAAAAAGCATAGGTTGGCTCAGTGTGTCTTCGACAACACCTATTAAGAAACATGCCCACTTCTTTCTAAATGATCCTCCAGCTTCCTTCCACATCTCCTAATCACTTGAAATGGAAAACGAAATGGCTCAGATGATGTCAGATACCAATCTATAGACAACTAGGTATCTTGGGCTTTACATACAATAATTCATTCTTCACTACACACAAGGACTCTATGCATTGGGTTTTCATAGCCTTCCTGCTTTTTTTTTTTAAAGTATCTAGTGACAGCAGAGAAAAAAATCCATAAAATCTACAGTGTCTAGATTGAATTTCTCTCACCTAATTATAGATATCTAAATTTGAGATCACTGTTACCACAGCTTCCTTTTACTCAGCAGAAAGACACGGGCACATTTAGTGGAGATTCTTCATCTCATCTTAAAATAGATCAGACTGCAGACCCCGTAAAAGGTACACAAAGTGATTAGCTCACCATTAGTTATCTAAAATGACACGAAATCAACCCATTCATAAACGAGAAAATGTGTACACGTGTATTCTTTTCATTTGTAGCAAACCTGAAATAAAACAACAAAACTAGGCACTAGGTTTCACTGTGCCTGTTTTATTAGTTGGTCTGACCACCTGGTCCACCTCCCTCCATGTATCAGAGTACAGTAAAAGGTTAAAAACGACTCTTATCACATGCAACCAGCAGAGGTTTGTTAGTAACACTATCTTGAGAACTTCAGCTCACCTTCACCAGTTTTCCATTGATCTCTGGTATGTCTCCAGCTTTACGATTATCTAGCATCCGTATTTCATAGGACTGACCTTTAAAGAGAAAAAAGTTTGTCTCAATAGAAGAGTCAGAGCACAAAGCTGTTCTGTGTTTAGAGCACCTGAATTAGCTTTTGGTTCACACACAGTACAAAAGAATCAGTACCTGAAACTTCCATTTAAGAGATTTTTATAACAAGGTTCACTTCACAGCACAGAAATTAACGGAACAAAATGAAACTTTTTGGTCCCTTTAAAAATACAGACACTTTCAAAGTTATAAGTATTTCATTTTACCTGAAGTATGAGTACTTGTTGCTCTATTTTTTTTCTGAAGAAAAACTTTTCAAAGTTGAATTCCTTTATTTTTGAAACTGATGAAAGGCAACTAACTGAGAACTATAGTCTGGTCTTCCAGAACAAACTCTTGCAAAGAGGTTTTATACTCTTCATAGAGCATACATACTACTCTCCCATGTTTCATTTTCCCCATGTAGCTGTTGCCTTTGTGTGATTTGTAGGCTCTGTATCATCTCAGAAACAAGCCTTCAAAAGAACTAGTTACCGGTTATTTCAAACAGGTATGAGCAAACCTATCTTTCCAGTGAATTTGATGAACTGTTGTACTTCAACAGAGACAAAGCTCACATTAATTTATTTGAACTATAGGGATTTTTTTCTTCCAAGGTGAGCAGCACATACTCATTTGAAAAATCACATTTCCCCAATTAAAATATAAGACCAAATAGATTTCAAGAGATTCACTAAGATCAAGTGCAGTAAATTCATTACCTTCTACATTACCCTCCAGACTACCTTTATGCTCTAGCATTTACTACTTTTAATAGGCATTTACTGGCTTGCCCTACAAGAGTAATGTTCAGCTGTCACACCCCTGTGAATAAGCAAATGATTTCTTCAGCTCCTTTCACTGCTTCATACACTGCTGTTACCTCCCACTATGGAATGTTTGGGGTTTTTTGCTGTAACGTGATTAGCACTTTTACATATATACTCTATATATGTACAAGCTTTCTTTACCCCAGCAGCATTTGATCACTGATGACATAAATATATATAAATATTAAATGTAACTAGTGCAGCTGAGTAAAGCAATAGATCACTTCTCCTATATTTAACAGGAAAGAATTTTTTCCTGTTAGTAAGATTTGTTCAATAACCAGTGTTATTTTGCTCACATGGAGATAACGCATATGTAAGTTCATCTGCATTTATAGACAATATCAGGTGTTTTTTTTAATCTAGCACTAATAAAACTTTTGCAAATATTTCTCTGTTCTCTTTCACCATTATTTTAAAAAGTAGGAGATGAGAGAAGAAAAAAAAGATTTTGATTGCTTGCTCAACATGCATTGCTAACCTTTTACAGGTGCAAAATAATATTTTAAAGACAGAAGATTTGATGAAAGTAAAAATCAAGGAATGTCAGACTCAAAAATGCAAAAATAGCATACGGAGTTTTCAAAACAAAGGGACGGGTAAGTTTCAGTCTAGATTTTTTGATACGTAGCTGCTCTTAAAGTGTAAAAAGCACCCCAACGTTGATTGTAGCCATCCCTGTACGACAGCCATACATGCTACATTCTCTGCTGTTTCCCAGAGAGCAGCCACAGCAGCAAGGCAATACAAGGTGCTAGGAACTTTAACTGCCTGCTGCTTAACACCAAAAGTGTAGCACCCACTTTCACAAAAATCACAGGATCACAGAATGGTTGAAGTTGGAAGGGACCTCTGGAGGTCGTCTTGTCCAAACCCTCTGCTCCATTCAGCAGGGCCACCCAGAGCCAGTTGCCCAGGACCAAGTCCACGCTGGTTCTGAGTATCTCAAGCATGCTCATGCAGCCCATACTTTATTAGCTCCTCTGTGAGATCTTCAGGGGAAAACAGCAAAAGCCTTACCGAAGACAATGACTTGTAGACAATATCTACGACTCTCCCCTTGTCTATCAAGCCAGCCATTTCATCATAGAAGTTTATCAAGCTGGTCAAGCATGACTTCCCCTTGGTGAACTCATGCTGACCACTCCTCATGACCTTCTTGTCCTTCATATGCCTGGAAATACTTCCCAGCAGTATTTACTCCCACCATCTTCCCAGGGATGTAGGTGAGGCTGACCAGCCTGTAGTTCCCTGGGTCCTCCTTTTTGAAGACTGGAGCAAAAAGTCCTCAGGCACCTCTCCTAGTCACCATGATCATCCTAAGACTATTGAGAGTGGCCCCACAATGACATCTGTCAGCTCCCTCGGCACTCATGGGTGCATGCCATCAGGACCCATGAATTTATCTATGTCTAGTTTGCTGACGACCAGCTTGCTTAAGTATTCCCTGACTTGTTCCTCTTGCACCACAGGTACCTATATTCCTTGCTCCAGACTTTCCCTCTGATGTCTAGGGCCTGGGATTCCTGAAGGCCAGCGATGCTAGTAAAGACTGAGGAGAAAGCGGCATTCAGTATCTCAGCCTCTTCCATGTCCTGTGTCACCAGAGTCCCTGCCCCGTTCAGCAGCGGGGACATGTTCCATACTCTTCCTATTGCCTCTTACGTACTTACAGAAGCCCATCTTGCCATCTTTGAAGTCTTCACCAGATTCAATTCCAGCCAGGCTTTAGCTTTCCTGACTGCAACTCCACATGCCCGGACAGTGTCTCTGTATTCCTCTTGGGTTACCCACCCCTGCTTCCACCTTCTGTATGCCTACTTTTTGTGTTTGAGTTTTGCCAGGAGCTACGTGCTCATCCATGCAGGCCTCCTGCCATTTCTGCCTGACTTCCTGCTCACTGGGATCCACTCCTTTAGAAGCTGGAAGAGGCAATCCTTCAAGTAGCTTTCTTGGGCCCCTCTTCCCTCCAGGGTCTTATCCCATGGGACTCTACCAAGATGATCACTGAATAGGCCAGAGTCTGCTCCTCTGAAGTCCAGTGATGTGATCTTGCTTTCTGCCCTGCTTCCTGCTCTCAGGATCCTGAACTCCACCACCTCTTGCCCACAGCAGCCAAGGCTGCCTTCAACATTCACATCCCCAATGAACCCTTCCTTGTTCCATGAGGCAGAGCACCTTTCCTTATTGGGTCCTCTTATCACTTGGGTCAGGAAGTTGTCATCGATGCTCTCCAGGAACTTCCCGGATCGCACATGCCCTACTGTGTTGTCCCTTCAGCAGACACCAGGGTGGCTGAAGTCCTCCTATGAGGACCACAGTGCCTGTGAATGTGAGGCTACTTCTAGCTCTTCATAGAAGGCCTAATCTCCTTGTTCTTCCTGGTCAGGTGGCCTATACCAGACACTCACTACAACCGTCACCCATATTGTTCTGCTCTTTAATCCTTAACCCATAAGCTCTCAGCTGGCTCAGCACCCATCCCTAAGCAGAGCTCCAAGCATTCCAGTTGTTCTCCCACATAAAGGGCAACTCGCCCTTCGTTATCTTCTTGCCTTGCCTTTCCTGAAAAGCCAGTATCCCTCCATTACAACATTCCACTCTTGCAAGCCATCCCATCATGTCTCCATGACCCCAACAAGATCATAGCCCTTGCATTTACTTCCCACGCTGCTTGCATTAATGTACATGCACTTCAGAGAGGCACCCCACCATACCGATTTCCCAGAAAGGGTTTTGAGGTTTCTTTATAATGGTGCTTTATAGGTACTTCCTTGCCTACATCCAAATGCTGGAGGTGACCCTGTTTAGGCCCTGTTTTGTCGATTTTGTGTTCCCTTTCAGGCACATCACTCCAGGCCTTTTGCTCATAAACCACGTCCATCACTCCCTCACAGTGCTGCTTATAAGCCTC